AATTAATTATATTTATTTTACATATCATAGTTGTAAGGGACACCAGCAGGTTGGTTTGCAGAGGGGTAGGGGCCCATAATGTCCATAAGAGGGCGCTGATTCTTTCTTAATAACCACGAGTCTAAAACTCGTTTTCATATCTGAAATATCTATGTAGAAGTACTTAATTATTTCACAAATGATTTGAAATGAAAGGAAATTACATTTTTTTTCTCTTTAAAAAAGAACCAAAAGTAATCATTAAATGATTGTTTCAGTTCTGCGAAAGAAATCGAATATATACTCCTGATGGAAAAAAATAGTAAAATGCCATGGGAATACCAAAGAGAATACAGTTCCTGAGGTTACAATCCTGATCTAACTCCCGTTGCCTTTCTGAACTACAAGCCAGAGAAAATCAAGCACGAGGCAATTCCCAAGCGGAACTCCAGGTTACCGATCGGAGGTTATAAGAGGAGGGGGAGGAGCGAAACTAAAAAAAAAAAAAAAAAAAAAAAAAAAAAAACAGACTTTCCAAGCAATTTCTTCTGTGCTGAGCTTTACAAGATTTTGGATGCAATTTCATTCTCATTTCTTGGCAGCCTTCAGATAATAACGCATTGTTAGTCGAGCAAAGGAAGCAAGAATTTGGTGTTGATTTGGCTGTCGAGTGTTTTATAAAAGACATATAAGGATTTAACACAAAAATTCGTTGATGTAAGGTTCAAGAAAATGCGTAATTTAAATTCTTTCATCCAAGGTTCTAGAAGTCGATCGATTGCTTACTTCGATGCCGCTACATATAATGCAAAATTTAGATTATTCCTATTTACTCACGAGCTTGCGTGAGGAACTTTAATAAGCTCCTTAAATCGCATCATTTTTTATTTTCTAAATTAGAAAAGTGTTCTTTATTTAGCTATTAACCATTTTTCTCAATTCTTATGAAAACTCTAGCTAGAAAAATCAACATTCCCAATTATTTCAATAAAATACAAGTTCTATAAATCAATACATTTGTATTCTTCATCATTAAATATACTGAAAATTGAATTTTATAACAACTCTACCTCAATGAGAAATCTGGAAGCATACTACATACAAGTGACATTACCAGAGATACTGAAAAAAAAAAATACCAATCAGATTTGCGGGTTGTTTTGCAAATAGAAAATTATGATAGCTGAAGTCGCGTAGTTTGCTGATATGATAACCTTCTTTAAATCAATAAAATCCTATCTCAAACATCCTTGAAATTTTGTAACGGATATACTGTGTTTCCTATATTTCCCTCTTGTTTTTTAATGCTATGTTCTGGTAATTTTAAAAACAGTCATGTAATTTCCTCTGTTGTACATAATTTTTCCCTCTGAGGGCTAATTTATTGGACAGTTGCAATCAATTGATTATTTGTATTTTTATTCAGTATATTTAATTTATATTTAAAATTTTGTATTAACATTCATCTATTTTATTTTCCTTTTCATTTATTAACTGAAACATATTGTTCACAGATTCTTAATTAAGCTAACAACTGGACGAAATAGGTTTTTTCATACGTAAGAAACTTCAGAAACATGTGATTTCCCCTTACTTCTATTATTTATGTTCTAGATTATTGTAGCCTTACCTACTGTTAACGTATTCGATCTTTTGAATTTCGGATCTGTTGTACTTCCCCTTTTTTCTTATTTAAAGCAACATGCCTCTTGAGAACTCCAATCATGGCTCATTCATGCAAAATGTCTCTGGGGCTTTACAAGGTGCTATGTCCAGCTCCATTACCGTCAAATATCCATTGGATATCGGCTCAATTTCTATCAAATATTGGAATGTTAGTACTACTATGTATTCTGATTTGAATTTAGGTTCCTTTTAAAAGAATAATATTGTGATGTTTGACTATTTTTTCTTTTCTATGTTCTTCCTATTACCTCTTCCTTCGGAAATTAAATCACTGTCATCATTTTGCCCTCTCAACTTTCGGGCATTAACATTAATTGAAAAAGGGAAAAATACGCGAAGAAATACGGTAAATATTTGCATTATCTTACGTATCAAGTTTTAAAGCACGTTAAAATTCACATTATATTGTTGAATAAAATATTTCTAAAGCATATTCAAGGTGCTAAGCAATCTGTGAACTCAGTACTAGCATAATTACAGTGTTTTTTTCATCTATATGTTTAAACTGGGGCGGCTTAGACATGAAGAAATCAAGTGTAAGATATCTCAAGCTTATCAAACAAAACAGATGCAAAATGTGCAAAAATTGTTTATTCAGGTAAACTTTCCCAGCATTGCTAACAGTTATGCAAACGAATCACTGTCAGAAACTTAATAAGTGCAGAAAATGGCTTCAGTCTTATAACGACCTGTTATAAGACATAGTTATGCATGTGGGTTGGTAATATTTGGGAAGAAGAGATTTCGTGCGGCAATTTCTCACCTGGTTAGTTGATAGCCAAACTCATTGCTGAGACTGAATCTACTCTCTTCAGTACTTCATTATAATACACTGTAGTTCAAATCTCATACCTTTTTCTTGAAGTAAGCGTTCGAAATCAAATGAATCTAGGCAAACCAAAATAATCCCAAACCGAAAGCTTCATTCTTGTTTGAGAGAGAAGGAGGTATTAGATTCCAAATGATATCCATCGAATGCTTAATAAAGAATAGATTTCATGTTACGTTATTCAAAACTTTTCTATAAATTTAAAGACATAAGAGTATTCATACAAACTGGCATTTTATACACTAGTGTAAACTTAACGACTTAGGAGTCAAAGTTAAAGACTTAAGAGTTAAAGGTCAGTAACAAACACTAAAAATGTTTACTACTGTTTATGAAGCCAGTCCATTCGTTTTACACCGGGATGACTGTCCGGTGTCTTATATCATCTTTGTCTTATCCAAGGCTTCTGATTTTTACATTACTCTAATTGGTGATATCGACGGGTTACTATTGAGGACATAGGAGTCCATCGGTAAAACAGTCCAATTTTAAGAAGTTATCTGGTAACAACTGATAATATCTGGTAACAACTGATATCCGATGTTATTGTCAGATATAGGATTCTCTTGCCGTAAATGAAACTACGATCATAGAGCTTCGGTTTTATGGGGACCGTTCTAATGCTTTATATAGCTGTATGTATTATTCTATAGGCTGTTGACTGCAAGAATGCGATGCTAAGTAATCGTAATGCCTTTTTGGAAGAAGTTTAAAGTGCGGGTGCGGAGCACCAGCACGTCTAGCAGATACCTAGCATTACGTTTGACAATGTCCATTACTTTGAACCATTACAGCAAAACATATACGAGGATCTGCAACAAAAATTTCAGCTATAAGACTTAGAATACAATACTTACTATTACATACCTCAATAAATTGTAAAATATATTGCTATATATATAGGAAGACTTGCTTATTCACACTTTATGAATGAATTAGTAAGTACTTACGAGCAAGTTAAGTTTAGCGCAAGTCCTGTCTACATTAGCGAAGCAAGAATAGGAGAAGATTTTATCAAGTCTTCTTTCTATCTGCAAATCTTATATCTTATTTTCTTATGTTTTCCATCCTTATTCTATTACTGTATTATTTTACATGCTTTAAGAAAGGACCAGTGGGTCCCATTGATGAGGGCATATTATATTAATAGTAATATTATTATTAATATATTACTAGTGTCGAAACCAATTTTCCAGTTGAGCGCGGTTAGCCCGTATGCCTTTAGTCTTATAGCTGCATACACTGAGTGGATTGTCAATCAATTGTTTCGGCAATTTTGCTCAACGCAAATCAAATTTGTCTCCCCGCAGTGTTCTTCAAAGAACGGGGCGATAGTTTAAAAATATGGATAGATAGATAGAAATACCTCCTTCCGTTGTCTTCTGTATAGAAACAAACTTAGTATCTGTAATATACTATGCGCGCAGCAATTCATAATTTTTAGAAAGAGTTCATGAATTTCTGCTTTTATAGGGAACACGCTATAATACAACCTTTGAATAACAAATCTAATTAAAGAACTAAAGAAGACCTTTCAAAAGACCTCAAGAATGGAAATCTCTTCTACGGACATAACTTGGACAGCATTTGTACTCACGGACATAACTTGGACAGCATTTGTACTCAAACTAATTAAACGCGGAGACATGCCTACATAATATTTTCACCAAAGGAAGAGAGGTAAATGCGGCCTCTGTATGAGAAAAAAAGTGTTCATCCATTTAATAGGGAGGCAAAAAAAGTAACACAAAAAGGCGAAACGAGAATAAATAAATAATAAAGCAAGACGAAAAAAAATTCTAGAGATTAGATTTCAAGGATCCCCTGAAAGGACGTTTTCCAAATTTAATATAGTTTATCGGTAAGGCATTATATACGGAGAGCTCTCAGACGAAATATTTTATAGGATATTAGATGAATATGCTTTTAAACTAACATAGGAACGTTATGTGTGTTCTGTATATTTAAAAAGTGAAAAATTATGTATTGCAATTCAGTAAAAATATTTAATGCTTTTAATTAGCTATATCACGAATTAAATGCATTTTATATAAATTAATCCAATAAAAATGTTAAACAAATAATATTTTTAAGCTTTCAGATAGTTTAGTTTCTTAATTAACAGACAGATTAAAGATGAATAGACAGATTCTAACAGACAGATTAAAGATGAATAGACAGATTCTTACAGACAGATTAAAGATGAACGAATAACTTTACATTTTTCTGAATGTAAAGTGAAAACGACACTGAATTCTGAAAAGACTTGAATGAAAAGAGAGATAGCGCAAAACCGTGTTTCGAAATTAATTTCCCTTTTGGGCTAAAAAATCGTGTTTCAAGACTAGTAAACAAATTTATATGCAAATAAAGTAGTTTTTCTGTTTCTGAAAGAGTAATGATGAATAAAATGTAATAATGACCATAAATTTGACCGTAAATTTTCCGCTTTTTAGAAAATTGATTCTGCTGGGCATTAAAATAAAGTATCTTTCCATAATTGCAGATCTGGCGCCTCAATTCAAACTCGCATTCCCTGAGAAAACAGTGCGCCCTGGAAGTTTCGTCTCCCTCATGTGTATAGCAATCGGGAACCCGGCTCCTCAAGTGAAGTGGACATTAGATGATATATGGACGCTTTCCACTCGACCAGGTGTTTTGGTGAGCACTTACTTGAGTGGTGGAGGTGATGTCATAAGTTATGTGAATATCACATCAGCCGATGTCACGGATAGCGGAGTTTATACTTGCACCGCGTTCAATGAAGCCGGCAGTTCAAGTCACTTCAGACGGTTGAACGTTTTCGGATCTTTATTCATCAGACCTCTGAATAATTTAACTGCCTTAGCTGGGGGCACATTTAAAGTGATGTGCCCCTTTGGTGGATATCCTTTTGATAGCATACTCTGGAAAAAAGGTAAGAAGTTAATTATATTTTAATGCATATTTATTGATTTTTGTTTAGTGGCGGACACAAAGAAATTTTCCGTACAAATTTTGTTTCATCAGCGCAAACACCGCGATACGTGTAGTTGGTTTGTTTATGGAAATTGCTGCGCAAAAAAAAAAAAAAAAGATTTTGAATTAATAGTTTGTTTCTCTATGCCGCATCTGGTTCTATATTTGCACTTATTTTCCGATTTAGCTGAGAAAGAAAATTTATTACATATATGAATGGTCTTAAACTCTAACCGCATCCGGGCCAAATGCACGATCTGACAACAGCTGACGAGGCAATTTTTTCTTATCTTAATGAAAATTTTTATTAATAAAATAAACATAGTTTTTATTTATTTATTTATTTTTTATTTATTTATTTTTGAAAATATAGACTCTCCGTGCACCACAGATATAAAATACGCGGCTTATAGAAGTAAGTTAACTAAAACGTTAAAAGTCGCATGCATAAATAAAACAACAGTCAGTGATTACACATTTAAAGGATATGTACTGGCCATCATTCTGGTTTTTCTAAAGTTGAGAGTGTGATAACTTTAATCTTCGTTTCAATAAGTATTTCTTGCAGTTAATAATTAATTGCAAGCATTTTAAATTTTGATCAGTTGACTTCAAAATCTGGTGAAATATGGCTAAATGTTTGTTTCAGGTAAGCGTTCACATGAATCTGAATTTATGCAAGATTCTCATTAAGTGTGATTCTATCTTTTGATATGAGAGTCCAGGTATATGAGTGCATGCCAAAAGTCGCAATTCGTCCATTTTACACATAAAATTATTCGAAAATGATATGAGAGAACAAATAGTTGCCAATTTGTTTGAAACAAATTTTTCTTTTGATATTTGTAACTAAACTAAATTTTAACTCCCGGAAAGTCAATTTTATATTTGTAACTAAAAATTTCGAATCTTTTTCGAATCAAAGCAATCTTCGAATACAAGAAAAAGCGGACTTTATGTCTCACTTTTAACATTAGAATGCAAGTCCTAACCAGCACGTCTAGATCCACCCTTCACATATCGGCCAATGCAATTTGATTTGGACAGAAAGGTAAATATGTCCCCATTCCAGTAATTGGAGTCGCCATCGCCGTACACGTTTAGTGGGAACACGATGTTGGTCTAGCTTGTAATCACTTTCTCCTTTCCTTCCATTACTGCAAATGCTTCGGAAAATAAAGATAATATCAGAATCATACTAAGATCAAGCAAAGGATATAAATTAGATCAGTCATTTGGACAGCATCATTTTTTACAGATTCCCAGCGGGTGTGTACAGTAATATTCGGCTCGGAAGGATACTTCTTGAGTAAATTTCAAGTATTACACAAAACATGATCTGCTAAAAATCGATCTGTACTTAAATTTTCTCCATTTTATATCAATGAATCTTTCTTCAGATATGTTCCTAGCGAATCAAAATTACTTGCTATTTCAATAAAAAATATATTTATTAAAAAATTTTCCTTTTGATAATACAGCTATTTTTCTCAGCTTTTAACTCTAGGAATTCAACTGAATTGATCTCATAGTTTAAAATTGGGCAAAACTATAACATTGTACTTGGAGTAGATTTAAATTAAAACTCCCCCACATATTTAACAAACAATTTCTGCAGATTTTAGTATAAGTACAGCCGTTGCTTTTGCTTTCTTTGCACATTTTTTTTGCTCATGATGAAGAGAACCTGTACTTTCTCGCCCACAAAAATTGCATCGTTTGAATTAAAATCTACATCAAACATAATGTTGTTGTATTGCCTAATGTTAGGTTTTAAGCTGGCGTGTTCCTCTTCACTCTTGGTCCCATAGCACTTTTGTAGAAGTTGTAGAGACATTGAGATTTTTTTAGAAGCAGGAAAGATGAAAAATTAGCACAACGTTTGGCGGGAATCGAACCACGGACTTCTGGAATACCGGTCCAGCGTGCAGAACCACTATACCACGAAGGCACGCTAGGAAAGTGGGAGAAATACCTTATAAAGTAATATAAGAACACATGGTAGGAAACTGTAACTTATTTAATCGTTAGCTTTCAATAATATTATTAGTCCAAAGGGCCTTTGTCCCTGAGGGACTATTTTTTTTTTTTTTTAGTTTTGCGATTTTGCGTCGAATCACTCTGAATGTCCGTTTCACTTTTCACACTTTTTCCACCAAACATTATAGTCCTGTATTATATTTGAAGAAATTAAATAATGAAGAATCTGCATAAATGTATGTATGTTTCTCGCATTGTGATAAAACAACGGTACCTAGAGCCATCCAATTTTGAATGACGTAATCCTCCTACGAATATGGGCATTTGGAAGCCCAGATTTGAAATTTGGAATTTGTTTTATTATCGATTTCATATTTTGTAAAACTTTAACAAATTTTTTATTAATAAACTCAATGATTACAAAGGGAGAAAGGGCAACGTTGTAAAGATAAAAGCATTTTTATCTCCAGTGCGTGAGACTATGTATCGGAAATTCAAAAAGATATGCTCAATTTAAAATTATTTTGGGATATTACCCTTGAACTGAATTTTATGGTTTAAGTGCGAAGAACATGATATTTAACAAATAAAGGTAATACAGGAAATGTTAAAGAACGCCCCTTTGAACGCAATTTAAAATCTGAAATTTTTCAGATTTTCTTTTTATAGTTTTAAATTAATATCTCGGCTGATTAAAGTCGTACAAAGATGAGAATGGTCTAAATGGCTTCCCACGAATTTTTGTAAGCTTAGTTAAACTTATTATTAATCAATAAATATTTTCGTGGAAAATATTAAACGAATATACGCAAAGAGGTACTAGGCATTTAAAAGTTATCATTTATATAACTCTGGGAAAATAAGATTAGCGAAACTTAAAGAATGGAAAAGTGTTCCCACTAAGATAATAATCATCAATCTAAAATTCTGTAGTTATAAAATCTACATAAAGGTTCCATTTCAGTTTTTGTAAAAAAACAGTTTTTTCCTTGCAGTGATAAAAAGAAGATGAATAAATAAATTGTCATATAAAAATTTCAAATTATATTCTAACATTTTAGTTTAACATTAAAGTTTCAAAAAGTAAAAAAAGTACCCCCAAAATTAAAAATATAAGAAATCATAAGATTAAAATGAAATTTGAGTCTGATTTTGGTATACTTATCTCACTTTTGAAGCTCAACAACTCTAAGCAGTTTCGATAAGTCTAATAGCATACGAAATGGAGCAACAGGTAAAATAATACAGCATAAGGTATTTTCTTCCTCCTTTTGGCATGCCTTGGTGGTCTAATTGGAAACGTATTCGATGCGTATTAAAGAGGTCCAGGTTTCGAGACCCGGCGAAGACAGTGTTAAATTCTCAAGTCTCCTGCTTCAAAAAATGACTCTCTAGTGACGGAGCTGAAAGGTGGTGGATTGGTGATTGGGTTCCTTCATTCTTAGCCGTCCTTTAAAAGGGAAAGTATATGAGATATTTTCTTACTCTTTTTTGCATGCCTTCGTGATGTAACTGGAAGTAAACTCTATGCGTATTTGGGAGGTCCAGAGTTCGAATCCCGGGAAGGGCATTGCCCATTTTCAAATCTCCAGCATGTTAAACCCTAATGATTCTACAACAGCATATAAAATTTTTATTTAAAATGACTTGTTCAAACTGTTAAAGCCGAATGGAGGGGAAATATTGGTACATTTGTTACGAAATATCCAGGCGCGGTGAGATAGCTTTCTCCGCAAAGCAGTTTTAGGGTTGCCATTAAACGGCAAAGGACGGCAGGGTTGCCACATTTGGCGAGAAATTCTCCATTTGGTGACAAAATTGGCTATATATCATGGGCGGATGGAAAAGCTTCTTGAACGAATTCTTACCGGTTAGGGTTGCCAAAAAATGTCAAGGAAGAGGCAGGGTTTCCATGTTTGGCCAGAAATCGCTCATTTGGCGACATTTGGCGACAAAACTGACGATATGCCATAGACGGATGGAGAACCTTCTGGAACGAATTCTTACCGGCTTAGCCCAAAATGTTCTCGAACACAAGCCGAAAGCTATGTAATCCTGCTGGAGTGCGAGATAGTCTCGAGTTAATCAGTCCGTGCAAAGCCGATAGAGTTGACAGCCGGGCAGCGAGTGCCGAGTGCATCGAAAGAGTCTCTTAGTGTATCGCGGCTTGTGCATCGTCGAGAGAGTGTGTTGAGCTCTGGGAACGACTGAACCAAAGAGTCGGGAGCTGTGCTCTGTGTGTCGTCGAGTGCATCGCGAGTTGTAGCGTGGAGTGCCTCGTAAATACGTGGAGTTCCAAGAACTACTGAGCAGAGTCGGGAACTGTACTCTGGTACTTTGCCGTGAAGCTGTCTCCACCGTTATATCCTGATAAGCTGGAGGCTGTGTCGCTGATTGTGTCAGTGTGTTTATAGTATATCTTCGACGACTGTAAAATGTGACTTTGGAGCTGTCCTGATTAATATTGTCTAAATGAAGTGTGTTTCGATACTTCATCAAGTGTCGTCGTTATTCACTCCCAATCCGCACGAACCCCGTACTTCCGAACGTAAAGAAGAAAAACGTTACAATATTATTTTAACATAAATTAAGGCCATGGTAGATGCGCGAACTTAGTTAGAAAAGAAAATATTTAATTAATTAATAACGTAACTGTACATTTATTTCATTGAATCGTTTTTTGCAAGGTTTGAAATTAGTATTTCACTCAAGAAATTGTGTTTCTTATTTTTGTGAGAATAACAACTCAATCAACTGAAAAAATAAATCCAGTGAAAAGGCTTCTTTTGAAGTATCAATTAAAATATGAATCTTTTATTGTCTATTAAATAAGTGAAAAGAATTTCACTTGTTAGTTTGTTTCCATACTTTTATAATCTCTATATCTTTTATTATTTAAACCATCAAGCATTTATTATTAAACTTTTAAAATAAGTGTTATATTGAACAATGTATAAGGCACAGCGTAGTTTGGGAAAC